CGTGTAGATTCGCGTGTCTGGACTGTATGTCTTCGGGAGGAGAGGAGGTGCATCGTCGCCGGCGATGTCTGCGAGCTTGTTCAGAATCGAGCTTGTTTCTTCCTCCTTACTTCTGCTCGGGATCTCTGCGCGGAGAAGATGGCAAATGTCGAGTCTACCTTCGCGCAGCGATTGGACGAGTTTCTCTGCGGTGCGCAAATCTCCGAGTCCTACAAAAGCGGCGACGAGGGAATGGAAGGTGGTTATGCAGGGCACGAGGTTGCTTCGAATTATTCGCTCCAGAACGAAGACCAGGAGATCTCCCCTCTCCGCTCTTGCGAAGAGCTTGATGAGGACATTGTAGGTGATGACGTCTGGTTTTGCTTCGTAAACGGGCATTTTATCGAGCAGCTGATCGACAAGCTCTGCATCGCCTAAATTGGAGGCTGCGTTGAGTGCCGCGTTGAAGGCCGCGGTGTCGGGGAGAGAATCGGCTGTAAGAGAGGGATCGGCGGCGGCGATGCGGCGGAGCACGAGGCGGAGGGCGTCGAAAGAGCAAACGGGATCGCCGGTGGAAGATAAAGCGCTGATTACGGCGGACCATGATTTGACATGGGGGAGGTAGCCGGAGCGGAGCATGGAGTGTATGATCGAAAGGGAGTAGGAGGCGGCGCCGGATTTAGCGGCGGCGACGGCGAGGAGGCCGAGAGAGTTGGAGTCGAGGCGGCGGAGAAGACGGGCGTCGCGGAGGCGACGGACGAGTGATTGAGCACGGGAGAGGGAGGTGGGGGAGCGCTGGTAGGCGAGTTGGGAAAGGAGACGGCTGAGGGATGTGGAGTCTGGGATGTGGGGGAAGCTGGAGTAGAGCTGATAGGCTTCTTCTGTCTTGCCCTGCCGGAGAAGGTCAAGGAGGATGGCGTCGTGGGAATGGGAGGAGGAGGAGGAGGATGAAGAGATGGCCGGAGATGATGAGGTTTGGGTTCCGATCTGGTGATAGAAGCGGCGTGGTGGTTTGTGAGAGGGCGGGAGGAGGAGCTGAGTAGGTTTGGTGGAGGAGGAGAAGAGGTGGAGAGGGGGGAGAGGGGCGTAGGAGGTCGCCGGAGATTGGGGAGAAGGGGGCAGCATAGCCGGAGGGGTGAAAACTGAAAAGGGACACGGAGGAAGATAGGAATATTCAGAAAATTAATATATCTTAATTATTTTTTAATAATTAATTGTTATTTAATAATATGAAAATAGTTCCATAATTTATAATTTTTTTTTTATTTCTTACCTCTTTGTATTCAAGTGTGAGAATTTTCAAATGCCTAATTTCTTTTTAAAAATATTGAAATTAGTTCAAATGTGTCTTAAATTGAATCGGAATCAAGTCATGGATCAAATTATATTCATACCTAAATTAGAACTTTGTCTCGATTAGATTCGGCTTGGGTTAAAATCAAATTTGAGTTAAACCTTAGAACCAAACCGAAATAGTTGAATGTTGTGCAACGCTTAATCTATTATCAATTGTTTCACTATTGTGCTTCTATCCGTTCTTTCCTTTCACAATTTTCTGTTCAAACTTAGGGTCTGTTTGGAGCATCTGCAGTTTATTAAAGAGTTGTTGTGAAATCACTGAAAAATAATATAATGTTCAAAAAGCTGTGGTGGTTATTATTATTATTTTTTTTTTGAAAAAATCAGACCGCAGGACCAATGGAAAAACGGAAATTTCAGCTGCACTTTTTTAAAAAAGTTGTCAAAACACAGTTTACACAAACAGACAAAACTATTGTGTGGCGCCGCACGACCACCTCAACTTCACCCCAAATGGACCCTTGGTTCCATTTACCATATACTTGTCATGGCTCATCTCCTTAGGCAACAAGAAACTCTCCTTTCTCTAAAGTCTCCATATACTTCTCATCCATCATCTATGCACTCAAATATTTTATAGAATAAGTTCTTGTTGGTTTGTTTCGAAGTACAAAGGAACCTATTTTGGCATATGGAATAAAAGAATAGAGTTAACTTCTTAGATGCACTACAAATTCTCTATTTTGTTTCGAAGTACAAAGTTCTTTCCTTTCATAATCTTCTGTTCAAACTTAAAGTCTGTTTGGACCATCTGCAGTTTATTAAAGAACAGCTGTGAAACCGCTGAAAAATAATATAATTTTCAAAAAATTGTGGTGGTTATTATGATTTTTTTTTTTTTGAAAAAATCAGACCGAAGCTGCCACCACATCTAGGCAAGACCAATGGAAAAACAGAGATTTCAGCTGCAGTTTTTTAAAAAAATTTGTCAAAAGAACCTATTTTGGCATATGGAATAAAAAAATAGAGTTAACTTCTTAGATTCACTACAAATTCTCTAATTTTACTACAAACTCTCTGATTTTACCATGAACTTTTTAGTACTGGGTGGGTTGAGCTTGGTGCAAATTGACCTTATTTGGATTTCGACTGGTCAAAATGAGCTCGAGTTTGGCATAAGCTTGATTTCTATTTACAATTTTGTAGCCAGTCCTACACATAAATGGGTCGGGCCGTCCCACGGGCCTGTAAGAAAAGTGATTTTTTTCTTGCAATTTCATCTTTATAGATTAAAATTTTTCACATTAATAAAATGTTAATTTATTTTTTGAAAAAAAATGAGTTGATCAATGATATTATATATAGGGGTGTAAACGAACCGAACATGAACAAACAAAGCTTGTGTTTGTGTTCGGTTCGTTTAAATTTTAGTTTGTTTGAAATAAGCTCGTGTTCGTTTCTTAATGAACGAGCCGAACACGAACCGGATATAAGAAGTTCGCGAACAACAAGCCAATTTGACATCCCTAATATTAATATATAAAAATAATATTATATATTAATTATATAACTTATATTATATAAATGTATAATATCTATATTAGTATATTACTAATATAGTACATTAATATATTATTATTATTAATTTATTAAATATTATAATTTATAAAATTTAATTTTTTAAAATATCATAAATTTTTTATATATAATTTTTTTAAATTATTTTATATTTTGAACAATAGCGATTTGAACACGAAAGAACACATCACTGTTCATATTTGGTTCGATTAACTAATTAAACAAAAAAAAAAAATTTGTTCACGTTTGTCTCGTTTACTTATCGAACGAATCAAACACGAACTCATTCACGAACCGAACATGAATTATTCGCTAACAACTAGCTTTTTGATAGCCGGTGTTAAGAATGGATTCACACACCCACGAGAAGCTTGAGATGGATTCACAGTCTGGCTTAAGATGAGTTCAAGATAAATGATGAACTCGCTTATTAGATCTAAGAAGAACTCACTATGAGTATGATGCAGATACTTGTCAAGATTTGGGTGAACTAGCTTCGGACCCACGGAGACTCAAGCTCCAAGAGTAAGGAGAACTTGCCAAACTGACTTGGCTAACACAGTTGCCCTAGCTTAGTGATCAGACAGTCGAGTACTAGTCTTTTTAGGTTAAATACCTTTTGTTCTTTTATAGTGACTAAACAATGGGCCTTGTTTTGAACTTTTTATGTTCATAGTATATTCTGTAGCCCTTTTCATAGTGCTCAAGCACCAATCATTCTCTATAAATATAAAGATTATTGGGGGTGGCCTTGTTATGCATTCTCGTGTCCTGTACTCGGACTATGGCATAACCTATGGGTAGATAAATTAGATCCAATCCATATACTAATGGTGTGATTCATCCTTTAGCTAAGTCATGTGCATTATTATAGTTCATAAATACTTAATAATTAGAAAAAAAATATATAAAAAAAATCACTGAAACCATTTTATATTTTTAAAATCCTCAAAATCACTTAATTTTATGTAGTATTTTCCTATTTTAGTTGGATTACATCGCGGAGCGGCTTTAATCCCTATGTTTTGGCTTGAGTTATGAATGCTCTTGCTGGACATTTACAGAAGGATGTACCTTGGTATATGCTTTTCATTGATGATATCATTCTTGTGGATAAGACTGGGGAAAGTGTTAAGTAAAAACTTGAATTATGGAGATCTGCATTGGAGTCTAAAGACATTCGTTTGGGTGGATCTAAAGTTATATGCATGGAATGTAATTTTAGTACTAGTAGTTCTAGTGGCAGAGTTGTAACTGTTACTAGTAGCTCTAGTGACAGAATTGTAACTATTGGAGATCAAATCATTAAAAGGTATGAATGTTGTTTTAGATATCTTGGGACTATTTTTCAAAGTGATGCTGAGGATGTTATTAGTAGAATTAAATATAAATAAAATATAAAGTATAAAACAAAAGTGATACCAAAGGGCTCCTAAGTACACGTTTGGGATCATTTTTTTTTGTTTTCAAATTTTTATTATTTTTTATTTGTTTATGTTTATATTTGACTTAAAATATGTTTGGTTGTGGTAATTATTTTTGAAAATGCCTAAAATATATTTTAGGTATTTTAAGTGTTTTTAAATCATGGTATTTTGTCTTTAAAAATAAAACATAAAAATATATTGAAAATATACAAACAAAACATGTTTACAAAAAATAAAAGTGGAAATGAAAACACAGCGTTTTTTTTTTTTTTTTTTTTTTGAAAAAGAATTGCTGGAGGCTATTATACGAGCCGCCAGACACCCTCATGTGTCTAACTATTTAAGAACCGTACTCACTATCGACAAACTGGTCAGAGTATGATTCAAACCCGTGACCTGAGAGGACTTGCAATCTTTAAAGAGATTGCTCTACCAACAGGTCACGGCTGGCGGCACACATGCGTGTGCATAGATATGTATACCAATGCATATATTTTTTTCGCACATGATTTGAGTTGTCCTATTTTACTATTTTAGCGGCAATATTATAAGTCATATTTTCTTATATCTAAAGAAAGTAATTATTATCACCTCCCATATCAAGCTAAGGTGATATGGTTTTAAACCCCTTTGGTGGGCTCAATTTAGATTTTTCTACTAGGTAGGATTACATGACCAAATGAGTGAAGCATCTCAGCCTCATTTAGCGAAGGTGTATAAGACCTATGAATATTTTCTGTTTTGAAATACAATTAGGTTGATGGTTGCTTTTTCTACTAGGTAGGATTACATGACCAAATGAGTCAAGCATCTCAGCTTCATTTAGTGAAGGTGTATAAGACCTATGAATATTTTTTGTTTTGAAATACAATTAGGTTGATGGTTGCATCCTATCGATACATTAGTTCTCATATAGAACTTTGTTTGAGATAAACATTCTCAATTGTGATGCCATTATTGATGTAGAATTACAAGTTCTATATTTTAAAAACAAATTCAACTTATAACTAAAAGAGCTATATCTAGAAAATGCAAATGAACTCCACAAGGGCTAGCTACTTCTAAGAATCCTGAGTTTTTCAAGGTTAGGTGCTCCTAGTTCATCACACATCTCTTAAAAGGATTTCATATGCATCTAGTATCATTTTAACATAGATTTGAAACATGTTACCAATTGTTGTAAAAACAACATTATATAAAACCCTAATTCTCTTCTCTTATGTTACCATCCAAGAAGTTTTAAGGTCTAGATGTTGATTATTTGTTGGTACCTCTATTAGCCACTTCCCACCAAAAATATATGTTAAAAGGTCTAATGGCAAGGTAAATCAAAACTCACAAGCGCAAAATATTACAAATGTTGTTGGATTTAGGTAACTTTATAATTTAAAATTGTTTAACATATCTATCTATCACCTCCCTACAAAATTAAATAAAATATAAAAAAATAAATAGTACTTATGTTCATTGGCAGACATACACTAAATGCAATAAGTTGACTTGCTATATATTCAACAGACACCAATGAAACAATGGTTTATCATACACATCACGAACATTGAATTTTTTATGCATATGACATGTTATCTCACTTATACATAAAATTTATATTTAACTTATTAAAAGTTAAAATAATGATAATTTTGGTGTGATATGAAAAATTTTTGTAGTATAAAAATAAAAGAAATCAAAATTTAGGTATTAGACATATAAATATATAAGAATTGGTCAGTATGTAATGCTTCAAAAAATTAATATGAAAATTTGTGAGTTTAATGCATAACTTAATTAATGCATAACTTAATTTGTTATAATTATTTAATCAAATTGCTAAATAAATTTAAACTAAGGTACTATTAAACATTTAGGTTTAGTCCCACCCTCTTAAAATTACATTTGTATCCCCAAAAAAGCTAAAGAATATGAAGGTCGGCAACTACTCTCTAAGAATATGTCATAGTTTGCTAAATAAGGCCATATGTTTAATGCCAAAATTGATAAAAACATAGAAGCATTTGGGATCTTTTATTTTTTTATTTTTTATTTTTTATATTTTGGGTTGGTGGAGCCTGCATTAGGGGTGTGAACGAGCCGAACGCGAGCGAGCACAGGCTCAGCTTGTGTTCGGCTCGTTTATATTTCAAGCTCAAAAAGTGTGTTGTGTTCGACTAATTTGCTTAGCGAGTCAAACACGAGTCGTTCACAAACAAAGAGTCATTTTGACAACCCTAATCACGTAGCCATAAGATGTTAATGATTGGGACAAATTATAAAACATCATTTGAATCTAATTTAATATTTTTTATTCTATTTTCTTCATTAATAGTTTTAATTGATTATAAATCTTTGTAGCGTTGTAGTCAATTAAATTTAAAAAAAATACTACCCATCAAAGTTATATATATAATTGGTTAGTAGGATTTCGAGCCAAAATGAGTCGAACACGAGCGAACAGGGGGAGATCTCGTTAGGTTTGTGTTCGGCTCGTTTATATTTCAAGCTCAAAAAGTGTGTTGTGTTCGACTAATTTGCTTAGCGAGTCAAACACGAGTCGTTCACAAACAAAGAGTCATTTTGACAACCCTAATCACGTAGCCATAAGATGTTAATGATTGGGACAAATTATAAAACATCATTTGAATCTAATTTAATATTTTTTATTCTATTTTCTTCATTAATAGTTTTAATTGATTATAAATCTTTGTAGCGTTGTAGTCAATTAAATTTAAAAAAAATACTACCCATCAAAGTTATATATATAATTGGTTAGTAGGATTTCGAGCCAAAATGAGTCGAACACGAGCGAACAAATATTGGTTTGTGTTCGGCTCGTTAACTTAGCGAACGAGCTAAACACAAGCTTCTTAATCAGCCAAACAACGAGCCGTTTTGACGACCCTAGTTGGCATATGTGTGTGTGTGTGTGTGTGTGTGTGTGTGAAAAATTCAAATGTTTAAAATTTTGCATGATTCGTTTTTTCGGAATTTAAATTTTAGTGACCATTTTTGAATTTTAGTTGTAATCAATTTGAAGCTGACCAATTTGCAAGTCGATTCATTCGAACCGACCGAACTTAGGTACCTCTCCCCTATAAAAATAATGAAAAGCTTAAAACATCGACCATGGAGAAAACATTTCGTCCAGACACCGCACGTCCGAACCGCGAACCACCGGGCGCCATATCCCCATATATCTCATCGACAGGCGACGTGACGGTCAGAAGTTGATCGTCCGGAAGGAATATTCTTTCCCACGAATGAGACATTAAAAATCATGCTCCAAACAGAAAAATTTGCGTGCGATAGACGTACGCAGCGCTGCGTGCGCTATTGGGTGATATCGAGAGTACAAAGGAGTTACATCCGTGGTATAAACCCTTGTAACCTCTTTGTAACCTTCTGTAACCTACGCGTACCCTCTTAATATATGATAACAGAAGCGCGAAACTTATTTTAGGGTACATGTATGTTACAGAAGATTACAGGGAGGTTACAAGGGGGTTATACCGCGGATGTAACCCCCTTGTACCCTCGATATAACCCCCATATCGCACATAGCGCTGCGTACGTCTTTCGCACGCAATTTTTTTCCGCTCCGAACACACCAACACTCGTAAAAGGACAACGACCGTACATGAATCACGGAAATAGCATCCGAGGTGAAATAAATTTGACCGTTATAAATACTTTAAAGGACAAGAAAATTTTATTTCAAATTTATTTAGAAAAGGTTCTCCACTTAAATATTTATAAATATAAGGTAGGTGCACCGTCAAATGCATATATTAAATATACGTTGAATATGCCAAAGCATGAAAGATGACATGAAATTACGTTAGGTGGTAGATATGTAAATTTTTCATACATAATTTTATAACACCAATGTGTTATAAAGTGTCAACATAAGGGTTTAGGTGGTAGATATGTAAATTTTAAGGAATTATGTGGCATGCACGAGGAATATTACTCAATGCTTCGGTGAACAAAAGAAGACAAATTAACATGGTTCGACTATAAATAAATAGGGAGCTCGGCAGGGTTGATTATTAGAGTCGGTTCAATGTGTGGAAGAGTCCTTGAAGCTCAGGAGGGATAGCGCTACATCGACGAGATGATATTGATGGAGAAAATACTACGTCGTCATTTAAATGACGGTGTGGATTGTATCTCGCAGTTGCGCACACGGCATCATGCAATCCAAACTGTTGATTGTATGTGCCTACGTGTCGGTTGTCCATACATAATATTTTCTCGTGATTAATGAGATTCTCTTATGTTACGCTATCTATCCTGAGTTTTATGGGTTCTTCGTGCTCTCTCTCTCCCTCCCTAAAATCTTTAGAGGTAAAAACAAGTTATTTTTCATCCATGTGCAAATTGTTTATTTTTTTTATAACTATTTGTTTTTTTTACATAATGTTAGAGTATGTCATATTTTTTTTAGTGACATATATATACATACGACTCAAATCCAATGTTTTTATATGTCTAACACCTAAACTATGCTTTTTATATTTAAGTTTTGCGCGTTCACTAGTGGGTAAAGGAGGTTGGTTGTAATGAAAGGCGTGGTTAAAAATGTTCTATTTAAAGTTTGAATTGTTAAAATGTTATATTTGATGTTTAGGGTGGTTGATTAAAATATACCTTCAAACACACGCGCGCGCGCGCGCACACACACAATGTTGATTAATGAGTTTAAAGAACACAAATAAGAATGGCAACATGAAATAGAGATATTCTATAGAGAATTGATTAACATAATTTGAATTTAATGGAATAGATAAATACTACAAGTGAAGACATATCTAACACATTGACATTGGACTTATGTGTGCCACTTGAAGTATCCATAGCTAGTGACTTTATGGTAGAATGCAATAAGGTGCATCTTATTGATGGCAAAACTAATGAATGTTATGAGAGTTGGAATTTGGACTACATGGAAGGCTAACAATCTTAGGCATATTCCTAGCTTTTGAAGAAATGATATTGATTACAATAACATGATGGGAAATGTTACTTGTTCAATGTTTATACTAATAATTAGAGGGCAACCAAGGGCATTGTATTAAAACCATATGGAAGCAAGGATTATATAATGTGCACAATGACATCAAAATACAAAAAAGAGTTGGCACAAATGTGGTAAAATTACTATTGCATCATTTTTTTTTGTCCAAATGGAAGCTTTCGAAGGGAAAAAGAGATTGTGGGTGAAGCAAAATTAGTGATAAAAGCTAATAACTTTATCAAATATGAATGAAGAACCATAACCCCAACCTTAATGCTCCGATCGCTTACTTCATTTTCCTCAAAATCTAAAATAAGTGTTTGGCTAATCCATGAACCAAAAGTGAAGTTGGAGCTACAAAAGGCTAAGGAATGAAATTGCCACATTAGCAAAGACCATGCAAAAGCTCAAGACAAGCTTATCCATTAGACTAATGAGTGATGATTATTTATAGTAGTCTTGTCATTTTGCCTATCATACATGAATATAGGATTAATTTTCATAATGAAATCAACCTACCATGTATTAAATAAAAATAATGACATTTTAAAGGGGCATCTACATGCATACCACTCAACTATTATATATTTATGTATCTAACACCTAAATGTTACTCTTTACATTTACACCGCCCAAATCTTTCATATATGATCTCAGATAAAAAAAAATCAGTACTTTAACTTAAAAAAAGTCAAATACTGCCCATATATATATATATATATCATAGGAACAAGGAACCTATAAATAGAACATTTCATCATAGATTTACTTCTAAATCAATCACCCAAAAAGATACTTCGCACTCCTCACAATGGGACAATTTACTTGGAAAACTTACACCCAATTCATATGTATTTATATATCTAACATTCAAACTATGTTTTTTTAAATTTATACCCCCCAAAAATTTCATATCACATCAAAAATATCAATTCGAAAAAGTGAAATACAACTTTTCATGCATATTTACAAATTGAAGTTGAGATGCAAATAAATAAGAATTGAGTGGTATGTATGTAAATTTTCCAAACTCATAACATAAAAATCAGCCAAAGTAACAAAAGATAAGTGTTATTTAAATAGGTTATACAAAAATATATCAAAATATAGCCAACAATTGATCCAAATGCAATATAATTCAACAGCAGCAAACAAAAATTTTCCAACCCATGAACTGACCAGACCAATTGAACAAAGTATTTCATTATATATATCTAAAGAGGATTATTCGCTTCAAAGTTCAAAAGCAGGAGATAGATTCCACAGTTACAAACTGAGCAAAATGTGTTCAAATTCCCAAGGCCAGTTATTTCTATGCATCAGCAAATCTGAATCCAACAGCATTAAAAAAATAATAATAGCTGAGGTAAATATTTAAATTTATAAACTAAATAATTCAATTAGATTTCATTGTTTATACGTACCCGAGTTCAGAGAGCTTCTGATGAGCTTCGGCATAGTCAGCGAAGAATGCATCTTCATCCTGGCCGCAAGTAAAATTTAGTGTTTGCACATTTCAGTTATAAGAAGTTGATAATAGTGAATGTTTTTTTTATGTGATGTTAGAACATTTGAGTGCTATGTATCTAAATATGAAAATTTGGGAGTTAGATATGCAAATACATAGGAATTATTGGGGTATATAAGTAAATGGCATGAAGGAATTGCAGAATTACAAGATGAAAAACAAAAATTGTGTGGGGGGGGGGGGGGGGGGAACATACAGCAGCATATTTTTCTACAAGTGGGCGGAAGGCTTGATCAGAGAGAAGAGCCTTGTCAGATGGAAGCTGCAGAAGGCCTTCCTTCTCGCCACTTAAGAGCTCCCTAGCAGAAGAATACAAAATGAAATCAGATATAACATTGGTGGAAAGAAGAGTTTAGCAGATTATGTAAATATTATTTCTAATCATAATCATTAATTTATATGTGTGTGTGTGTGTGTGTGTGTGTGTGTGTGTGTCTAGCATGAATCAAAACAGGTTTAACAGCTGGTTACAATGGGTTTTGATCCACTTTCCCTAGAAATTCATTTTATTAGTTGAATCAAACCGGTTTGAGGATCCGTTCAAGATCAGATCGGTTGGACAGCTACAGTTGGTATGGTTTTCACAATAGTGAAAAAGATTCAAAATAATTGGGGAAATTACATACAGATCACGCAAAACTTGCTAACGACAAATCAACCACCCACCCTGTTTCATCCATTTTTCAAATTCTCATTCAAATATCAAAATTCATGGTAAAACCCCAACCCATAATTTTCATTTCCATCAATTCTCAACATCGATTCTGTAGTTCAAAAAAATCACCGGGGTGCTTAAGTTGTAAATATCGATGTTTTGGGTGGTTTGTATGTAATTAGTGCTAAATAAACATGGTAAAACCCCAACCCATAATTTTCATTTCCATTAATTCTCAACATCGATTCTGTAGTTCAAAAAAAATCACCGGGGTGCTTAAGTTGTAAATATCAATGTTTTGGGTGGTTTGTATGTAATTAGCGCTAAATAATTTCAAGCATCTTTAATCTATTTTTTGTTGGCATCATAATTACAGGACTTGATTCATATCATTTTTTAAATTTTTTTTTTTTGTATTGGTTATTGTTTTTATTTTTTAAAACATAGTATATTTTGTGCAATTTTATAAGTTATTATTTAAAAAAAAGGACTAAATTAACTTTTTTAAAATGCTAAACATTTAAATTTTAAGTTTTTTTAAATAATTAAATATGTTATGATATATCAAACATAGTTTATTTCAAGTAAAAAATAAATCAAAATAAAAAAATCAAAAGTGATCCTGAACTGCTCCTTAGGAAAAAAAAAAAAAAAATGAACTTAGGGACTTACTTAAAGTAGGAATTATCAAAGATGAGAGGATTTGGAGTCCAAGGACCCTCAAATCCTGACCGTTCTTTATGGCACCTTCCCTATCATGATGATAATTAAAAATTAATAGAGCTGATTATAATAGTTCTATAGAGAAGTAAATGAGATGTCGGGCAGTGAAGCATACAAGCGTATGGCCACCAGAAAGAGCAACAATGTCTCGATCACTAAGCCCCATTTGTTTGACAAAAACATCCCTCAGGTGGTCAGATCCTGGTGATAAAAAAAAAGGAGGAATGAAACCAAATAAATAAATGGACAATTAAATACATACCACAAAATTCCCTAGCACCTAAAGTTTGATATTTAAATTTATAATACTCTGGTATCATATGCTTAATTTTTACAAAGTTAGTAGTAGAGGGAGAAAATATGATGTGATATCAAGGATTAGAGCGTTATGTATGTAAATTTATAAGAATTGTGTGGTATGTATGCAAATGTCGCTAAATAAAAATACTTCAGGAAATTTTCATCTGAAAAAATCAAATTCACAGATTCAATATCTGAGAATGAGAAAACCTTAATAATAGAAGTAAAAAATTAATAAATCAAAATAGAAAAAAAAGAACACCTTTGGTAGCATCAGGGAGGCGACCTTCGACTGGAATCTGAGGATTGTCCTGTAAGAGTATTTACATGCAATGTGTCAAGAAGAAAGGTTAAAGAAGGAGAAGACAATAGAATGCTTGACATATAATGCATCTAATCTGTAAAAAGCCTTCAAACCAAATCACTGAAATTGAAGTACAGAAATTTTTTTACAAATTCGGTTTGAAGTTTTGGTCACTATTTAGATTTTTCCATTCAATTTGGTTTCAGAGTCGGTCACAAGAAAGTTTCATTTTCAGTTGTTTGAATATTTTTGGTAATTTCATTATTTACTATTGGTTTTTTTTATCAAAATTTCAATGGTTTGATTTTGGCAGCGTAAATAACAACTGTTCGGTAGTTCAAAAATATCACTCGGATGCTAGATTCTGCAAATAGTAATGTTTCAGGAGCAAAGTTTGTAATTATCCCTAAAAAAAATTTATTTCAGTACCTTGAAGTTGATTCTAGAGGAAGAAAAGCTAACAATTGGTGGTAATCATTCAAACTGCTCACTTCAATAGACTGGCATAAGAGGAGCATATTTGTACAACAGGAAGCATCAATACATCAAGAAAGAGCGCAAGATCAAGTATAGAAGATCCAATTTCTCGATTGCCAACGATCATAATTCTCATATCACAATGTTGAGAACCATAGTGGAACCAGAAAATGGCTGGGGGAAGCACTCCTCACTCGTACATTTTACTATATCCTTTGATATCATATAATAAGAGAAAAAAATTGCCCTCATAAAGTTAAATACTTAATAATAATTTAGTATAAATTAATTATATATTTGATTTAATAATCATATTTATAATAGTCTTAAAAATTTTAAAGACTGAAATTTTTTTTTAAAATACTCGTCATATTTTCATTTCACTACCTTTCAATTGAAGTTTTGGTTTTGCCTGGTTGAGAACAAAAAATTACATATTTATAAGCTGTGATCAAATCATAATTGAATATCAGAGGAGGGCAATCCAGTACCTAAAAGCTAGGGCTGTTACCAAGCGAACAAATAGGAATAAGGTGGTTACCTAAGTTTTTATCTTGCAGGCCAACCCTTGGTTTAAATTAACCTGTATTTGATTTTTTATTTGAATAAGATAGTTTTTGAATTCACCAGAATGAAGGATAAATTTGAATGCATGTCATGATTTGTCGATATAAATAAGACATTTTTCTTTTTCATGAAATAAATTGAATGAAAATTCTTGCAAATAATCTTCCTCCTCCTCACCCTCTACCCATACTTTCTCCCAAATGCTTGCTATCATCACCTCCTGTACTAACCAACTAACCATCAACACGCCTTTCTAATGTAGTTGCTACCTTTCACTAAGTTAATGTCAAACAGCACTCAAGATACCTTCAATTAATTGACAAAAAACATCATTTAGGAACCAATAGAATAAAATTTCTTGAACTATTTTGAACCGCTACTTTCTTAATTATGAAATTAAGTCCTCCAAATTAAGGAGTAGGTTGAGAACAAATTGGTTTTAGAGCACTCCTTTGTAATGTATGGTACAAAAACAGAGAAAATAACAAGGAGCTAGAGAGTTCTCATTTTAGAAGCACTCCAGATGATGAAAAGAAGCAAATTGATGCACAAAAAAAGGGGGGGAAAACGTGCAAAAAATGGGTCATTGTTTAGCCAGGTCATCAAATAATATCAACACATAACAAACCGCATTGGAAAGCATTTGTGGCTCGGTATCCTTGTGTCCTTAGTTGTTAAAACATAACTATCTCTGCAAACCACAACATATACTTTTATACTAAAAGCTATATATACAGCAAGCCTAACTGTTTCAATATTGAGATCTATTAATACAGTCAGCTTATATCATGCTCTCTCTCTCTCTCTCTCTCTCTCTCTCTCTGTGTGTGGGTATCTATCCTTACTCATACTATGTTCTACTTATAATTCAGAATATCTACAGTTGTAACAACATCTCTCTTCCGTACATCTTCCTCTCTACTCCCACTCTCTCATTCCATGGACAATTCATCTCAATCATACCATAGTAAAGAATCATTTCTCCACAAAATAGCACCATCTCCATCCCTTAAAATTTATCATGACCAATATCAAGTATTTAACAAACATAGCTCTCACAGCTGACAACTATCCTATATGGCGCACCTAAAACTCAAGATATTGATAACCAATGAATTTGACGGTTTCTTAGATGGTTCCTCTACCTGTCCTCCCCAATTCACCAAAAATTTCATTGCTCCCTCCTCTCCTAATCCAGATTATACTTGTGGAAACTCAAAGAACAAAATCTGTCAACAGCACTATTACCTCATGCTGTATCTCTAGATTCCAATGTTCCATTTGGAATACTCTGACCAAATATCAACAATCAACGAACCATTCCAAGGTGGTAGAACTCGAAAATGAACTACACCATGCCACAATGAAAAAAAACAAATTGGCCCAATAACTTACACAAATCAAATCTCTTATAGATTTAGCTAACAGCAGCAGGATTCAAGCTAGACAGCAAAGACAATGTTCTCAACATTCTCAATGATCCTTCACCTACTTATCCGTCATTCAAAACTGCAATCAGGAACATACTAGCGTCAATTCAACTTAATGATCTCTACTCACATCTCTCCACTGAAGAAATAAATCTTCAAGAAAAAACCATCAAACAGCAGCCATCCTCACCCATAATGTTGGTATGTTAAAGAAGTCACAGCTAGCAGAAAACCTATCATGTTATGACAAACACTCCCCTCAGTCCCATCGCCCTTTGAACAACAACAATGACAGAAATACTAGATGATTTGTCAAATATGCGGCAAAAACAATCACTTGGCACTTATTTGTTGGCATCATACCATTTCTCCTACACTCAGGCAACATCCAAGAACACATCAGCTCGTATTGCATTCCTTCCCAACTACAACTGATTAGCTCCTTCATACAGGTGCAACTTCACATCTCACCTCTGACTACTCACAACTTCAACAACCAACAGAATATCACGGTCCTGAAAAAATCGCCATTGGTGATGGAAATTCATTTACCATATCTCACAATTCGTGGCATTCTACCCACCCCAACACGTAGGTTCCTCCTATCATGAAAACTCAAGCGCCTTCCCTTTCACACAAACTTTTCTCAGTTCAAGATCTAACTCATGATCACAGTGGCGTAATTCACTTTTCTGATGATTTTCAAATGAAGGATCGGACATCAGACCAAGTGCTACTAAAAGAACAAAATCTAAGTGGCATTTATTCAATATCATACACTCAGGCTCTACATTTCACTACCGCTCCAATCAAACTTATGGCATCAAGAATGGGGACCTCCAAACACTACAATTGTCACAACTATCTCCAAGTGAAACCCATCTCTTAATATTTCAGAGTCTATTTCTTCATACAACTCTTATAAGGCTTCCAAGCCACAATTACCTTTTTCCTACTTCAGAAAATATATATAAAAGTTGTTTGTCTTAGGGTGTGTTTAGAGCAGCTTGTGCGTTTGAGGATAGACAGCTCATCCTGAAACACAGTCTGCGGGTCGACCGCAGGGTTTGACAGGCGACATGCGTTTAGTGTAAAAATGGAACCGCATTTTCGGATAAGCGAGCAAAACGTGTAATCCAAATGGTACTGCGTGTTTTCAAAAACGCTCCCGCACTTATAAACTGCCCCAAACGGGCGCTTAGTTCGCTCTAATGTATGGGGCCACACCTCAACTACTTCGGCAGATCATAAATAATACAACTAACTCTTCCCTATGATCAATACATCAGAGACAATACACATTTATTCATTTTCATAAAAAGGTTGTCACTCAACTTCACAACAACAGTCAAATTTTACAAACCAACGGTAGAGGAGAATACACCTCCAATGAATTCAATGTCTATCTTCAATCTCATGGCATAATAGACAACCCAAGTTGCCGCTATACTCCCGAAAAAAATGGTATTATTGAACACAAGCATCGTCACCTCCTTGATACTACTCGCACATTCTTGCAAGATACACAACTCCCACACACCCTGTGGCTCTATGCTTTATCAACAACAACCCATATAGTATAAGCAGACTTATTACACCGAGCACCTCACTATGTGTATTTATTGGCTACTGCATAATGCTTAAAGGCTACTACTGTCTCAATCCCTCCACTAACTTTAAAAAAATATATATTATGATATTAATATATAATTGATCAAACTTCATTTAATAATAACACATTGTCTCTTAATTAGCTAATAGTTAAATAAAATAATCAATTAATAAATTCGTATAACATAAAAGCTAAAATCTATAAAAAGTAATCTAAGAAACTAACAAAATTAAATTAAAGAATTAATTAGTTTATCAGTTTAGAAGTCCTAAGTTATTGTTTGAAAAACTGATTTTCAAACTTCATATAACTGAAATTTTCCTCCAAGCTGTTACATCATATATTTTTAAATTATTTTATCTATTTAAAAAAATTAAAAAAAAAACCGAAAGAATCATATCTAATCGAGTAATCTAACTGTTTCCATTGGAAATTTAATTTTTTTATTGGTTGAATTACAGTTAAATGCTATGCTTGATAGAGATTCTTATTTAAAGAAAACTTATAAACATAACATACAACTCTTATGTATTAACAATATCAACACCTATACATTCATATTTACATTTATATCATCTCGCTGTGATAAATTTATGACTGAAAAGGCTAATTTGATTTTAAAATAATTTTTGATAATAAATATTTTTATGAGATATTAAGGATAAGCATGTAAATATTGAAGTTGGGGTGTTAGATATGTAAATACATAAGAGTTGAATGCTATTTTTTAATAAAATAATATTGAAGTTGGGGTGTTAGATATGTAAATACATAAAAGTTGAATGCTATTTTTTAATAAAATAATTTCTAATCAATTAATCCACAACTCATCAATTGGCAGCATATATTTGGCAGTTGGTTCAGGTGGGATGCAATTAATTTTTATCTGGTGTTTAGCATATATTTGGCTTTATTATTATTATTATTATTATTATTATTATTATTATTATTATATTTAGCTTATTTATAAATAATAGCAGACGGTTGTATTAGTTGACAGTTCGACAAAAATTGAAAGACTTATTTTATTATATATAAATTATGTTGTTATTTAGTTATCTATAAATAGATAATAATAACCAAAGCGCATAGTTGGAGATTTATGCCTCAACAACCATTTGTTTAATTTTTAAAAATTTATTCTGTGTGAAATATTAAAGTAGTTATCTATAAATAGATAATAATAACCAAAGCGCGTAGATTTATGCCTCAACAACCATTTGCTTAATTTTTAAAAATTTATTATGTGTGAAATATTAAAATAAAATCATTCTAAATGTCAAAATTCAATATGAAAAATCCATTCTTAAATTTAGACTTGATCAACATTTATTTATTTTTCATCATAATAGGGCTAACATTTGACACATCGTAGCCAACCCTTGCTTACTATTCACCACAACCAAGGTGAGCTGTAGTGCATCACTAAGGGGTGACAAACTAGCCTAGAATAGGTATTGACAACCAATACTTAAAAGAATTTGCATGCATATGGCTAAACATAATTGCTTCTTGAACTTGATATTGCCTACCTAATAATAGCTACAAAACAAAACCAGTATAAGTTTCATTGCAATGGTCACCACGAAGCCTCAATCCTTAATAGACAATCTAAGAAACATAAATTTCTAAGATCATAAAAAATTTTGTAACTCACTAACTTAAAATCATTCAAAATAATCTCAAAATAATGTTTTACCTTACAACAAGCACTACATAAAAAAGTTCTTAAGCTTTTCAACCTTCAAACTTCATACAATAAGTTCAAAAAATTCAGAACTTTCCCTTCAAAACCTAGCTTTCTTATGGCCTAGCTCATGCCCCTATCTCTCTGTTTATACAGGATAAGAATGAAAAAATAAGCAACTTTGGACAAAGAAAACTCCAATCACTTTATATAATTTGAGCGTTAATATGTCAGTAATAATACTAAATTATAAACTAACTTTATTAAATCTTATCATGATAGCCGATGAATCGGATGATGATATGTTCATATATGGTTTGATAGAATCCACTATCTTATGATGGGCAATAAACCTAGACATTCATAAATGGCATGTTCTTAGAACATGATACTCCATGAAATAAATGAATATAAATATTAACAGTATTAATGTGAGTATTTCACATGTAACCAATAGAACGCTTAGTCAATATAGTGCATATGATAACCAAGTATTTGGCATTTATATTACATTCGCTACAATTGCCTCATTTATTATTATATATAATGCACTAGCAAGTCTATGATCATGCCTTGGATTCATATGTCAAGAAAATATTAACATGTCATGTTAAGTCCCTTTATTAGTATTTAAGTTATACAACAGATTTATTTATCATGCTAAAATCCATAGCTAAACAAACTAAAACTTTGTATTTTATAATAGATAATATGAAAAACAATGTTGTGCCTGAATGAGAATCAAAGTTTAAAGTTTTGCTCTATGTTTTAAAGTTAAGTTTTGGTGTATGTTGTGAATCATAATAACATCATGTAACGATTAAATTAAAGCTTAATACAGTATAAATGAATTGTGATATTTAAAAAATATGCAGCTAACTGAGTTAAATACTTTGGAATCTGAGGTGTGATTGAATTGTGTTGTTTTATTGGATCTATGTGAGTTTGAGTTGGGTTGCATATCTTTGTTTAAAAAGTTCATATGTTTTGTGTTCATCGCCAACCATATAGCAAAATTATAATTCTCTGTATTGCTTTTATGCTAGCATTTTATGGTTCAAAAAAAATAGTCACTTGTTTAATTGCATGTAGCTAAATTATAATTATATAATTGGTTACCATGTGTATGTGAATGATGTGCAACTTCATTAATAGATCACATGTGGTGAGAAAAACAGAATATCGCTTCACATTAAAAAAAATATCCAAATGAATTTTGGTATTATCATACTGTGATGAGGAGGATATGAGTGCCAACTTCATTAATTGTACCACGTAGCATGAAAGCTCAACAATTAAAAAAGAAAGATTTTGCTAAAAAAACTTCATTAAATAAATTGGACAAGAATCAGTATGTACCTTCCTACCAGGGTGAAAGGGAATTTCAGGCCCTCCAGTAACCTCAACAGCAACAACACCAGCCAACTAGAATCATTATCAAAACTTTAAAAGACTTTTAACCAACAGATCATCATAATTCAACGTTCCTAGCAAAGGAACATCACGTCAACAAAATCAATTTCCTTAATAAAAAAAAATAACCTGGTAAAAATCAGCATATGAGAGAATAGGAAACTGCTCCTTGATCGGCTCTAACAGCCTAACAGCAATATCCAGCCCGCTGTTGGCACCATGACTCAACTCCTCCTTGTGCCTCAACGTTCCAAATGGACCTCCAGTCTTGGTCTTCACATCGTAAGTCCCAGCCGAATGCCATCTGCACAGCATTTCCAAAACAAAAATTAAGAAAATAAATTAAAAAAAAACTCAGAAACTCTGTGAACTAAAAGATAGTCATCCTACGCCAAACGGAGCATGATCGGTGCGCAATTCTTCTCAGCAATGAGTCCACGGAGCTTCCTCCTGGCTTTTTCAAAAGCCTTCTTGTACTCTTCACTGACGGTGGGATACGACCTCGCCATTCTCGATCAAAATGATCAGCTACAACACTGCAGACCAAATATTTAGATCGATGTCTGCCGAAGCTAAAGAAATGGGCCACGGGACCTTCTAACAACTCTTACCTTACAGAGAGAAAAATCTAGCACCAACCTCCTGCTCAACAGCACGCGCAGACCACGCTCCTACTCCCGCCGTTCAAACACTTGCCTTATATATATATAGAGAGCAGGTTGCCCTAATTGATCTGTTGAAACTGAATTTAGATCGTTCGTACAGAGCACCAACGGTCGTGATTTTCGTGGATTGGACGGGTGGGATTAGGAGTTGGAGGCAATGTGCGGTGTGAGAAGGAATGGTTGAACCTGCTTGATTATGGAAAGATATTTTACTCATATGCCCTCCTTCTGTGGGTTGCAATTTGTTTTGTAATTAATGGTTGGAGCCGGTGAATTAATGAGGGTATAGTAGTCCA